AGAGTTTATCTAAAAAAGGAAAGAAAGAAAGAAATCTGGGGATAAAAGGATATAGCTCAGTGTTCCCTGGGTTCAATCTCCAGGACTGAAAAAAAAAAAAAAAGACCAAGCAATAAACTCCTGCAGCTCCTCCCCAAGCCCTAGATCTCCCCTGGCCTCCCCACTGCTCCACGTGGTTGGCATTTGCCTCTGATTTTCACCCCAGCCCCTCCACTTGGAATCTTATGTCCCCAGCTTTACCTTCCCAGGCCTTGTCCTTGCTCCCTGGCAGCCTTCCGGAGTGGAGCTTCCCAAAGTTGACCTGCCCAGATCAGGATGGAGGCCGCCTCTCCTAGGCAGCAAAATGTCAGCACCCACAGGGCAAGGGCTTCGCCTGGGGGCCCTGGGGAAGCAGGGGAGGGCGCCCCTGCCACCGATGCTTTCTCTCCCCAACTGGGAACACAGAGGAGCCCCCTTACCTTCTGTTGCCTGCAAGGCCTCTCCCTGGCCTCTAAGAGGGGCCGGTGTCCTGCCTGCCCTGCCCCCGCCAGGAGCCTGGCTCATGAGGTGACCGACTATAATAGCCTGGGATTAACATAGCAGGCATTGTCTTTCTCTGACTGTAGGGTGGGTATTATGTGTTCATCAACAGTCCTAAAAATACCCAGCAAACAGGTGCAGCCCCTGCGGCCCCCGGCCTCCTGGAGTTGGCCGGCCTCTGGCTGGAGATGCTTAGGTGGGGAGAGGTGAGATCTCACTGAGATCTGGGTGTGGACAGAACCTGGGAAACTGCACCCCCGGGAAACCCGGCTGGAGAGGGTGCAGACCCCTAGGTTTCTGTGAGCACAAGGGGGCCCTGTCACCATGGCTGTTGGGCTTGGCCCACGACACGCTCCAGAGCCCAGGAGCCTTCCAGGCGCCCTCATATCCCTGTGCACCACAGACACAAACTCCTCTCCAGAGCCAAGCCTCTTGCCCTCTGGGGCTTTCTGAAGAGTGGGCTGGGACTCAACTTCTGCATTTCTTTGCAGGAGGGGTAGGGTCAGCTCGGTGGCTCCGTGCTGGTTTCTCTGGGCCTCCCAGTGGCCCCTGCTCTCCCTCATTTCCCTGCCCAGTCCCCACATCTGGTCTGGTTCTTCCTTCTCTTTTCCCCCAGGTGGGTGCTGGTTCTATTCAGCGCGTTCCTTCACGTGTACAGCATCTGTTTGCACACACACACTCGTCTTCCAGCCGTGGGCCTGTCCTGTGCCTCACAGGGTCGCTGCCCCTGAGGTGTGTGCGGGGGAGGGGCAGCGGGCTGTTCTATTTTTACTGGCCAGTTGCCTTGGGGCACAGTTTTCATAGCCTGCTTCGGCTCTGCCCCTCTCAGTCTGCAGTCTGCAGTGAGGCCCAGCTCCGCTCCTCAGGACCCAACAAGGTAAGTGTCTGCAGCCTGGGACTGTGGACGTGGCTCAAGGCCAGGTAGGGAAGCTGAGTTTGGTTTTTGGTTGGAGGAGGAAGTGAGGTCTTGGTATTGGAAGAAGACGTTTCCTACCTACACCAGTGGGTTTGCTGGCCGAGCGTTCCCCAGACACTCGCAGTCTTCTGTCCCTGGGATTGGCACCTGTCCTGCGAGGCAGCTGAGGGGAGCTAAGCTTCCCTGGGGCAGGGCCTAGAGGGTCGCATTCTCACCAGGCACTGCCCAGCAGGTTGCAGAGGAAGAGGGGACCTGAGGAAGAGTGTGGCACTGTGGCCCAGAGTGCTGAGGCTGTGTGCTGAGGCTGTGAACTGCGTTTGAAATTTGGGAGCAATGTCTGCAGCAGAGGGTAGAAGGAGCTCTGGCAGGCAGAGCTCTTGGGGGTTTAGAAGATAAGACCTGAGCCCCTGCCGTCTAAGGACTCCATCTTTCTTCTTCGTTCTCTGTCTCTGAGGGGCGCTCTTGGCTCCCTTTGCCACCCCATCTGTTCAGGAGGATAGCAGCAGGCGAGGGCTGACTGCCAAGCCTGTTTCATCACCCTTAGCTCTGAACTGTCGGGGTTCCTCCTGGGGCAGCGGGTGTTGACAGCATCGAGGGTGGGGACCCAAGAGCCCGTGGCCGCATAACCTAGGGCCAAATCTACAGTGTGGTCCCATGGCATTTGGGGAGGGAATAAAGGGTTTGAGGGTCACGGTCCCAAAGCACCTCTGAGGTTAGGGCTCTCCTGTTTGGAGCACGAAGAGTGGGACATGGTGACAGCTGATGGCCACAAGTTTGGGGGTCCAGCCTTGTTAGCAGCCAGCCAAGAAGAACGAGGGTCCAAGGGCAGGGATGGGGAGCAGGGGTGCAGCATGAGCCTACCAAGATATTTGTGTCCTGTCTCTCTTTTCTGTTGTAGGTCACACACATGCACACAACACCCCCCCAATATTTACACACACGCGCACGCAGTCTTCATCTTGCCTCTAGTTGCCTGGCCTTTCCATGTAGGGGTCCGGGGCAGGGAGGGCCCGGCCCCGAGCCAGGCTCTATGGACTCTTCTCGCTCCCTCCAATCGTGGGCTTTCTGATTATCTCCTTGCTTCTCCGTTGTGGAGGAGATGGAATCCAGCTCTCCAGGCCTTGCATTTGCTGCTGTCTACATCCTGACTTCTTATCAGGTCCTTACTTATCTTCCCCCAGCCTTTCAAGGGGTCTTGTCTGGTGGGTGCCAGAGTCTAGGCTGGGCCTCACGCTTGGTGTGGGACCCCTGGGCCTGGCATTTGTCATCGGGGCAGGCTGGGGGCAGGCAGTGGAGCTTGGCAGGAGGCCCCATGCTGGACACAGGGGCCCTCAAGGGAGAGTGAGGGTGACCATGGCCAGACACCCCCCAAAAACGAGGCCCGTCCTAGGGGAGAAAAACATTAGACCTCAGCTGAGCTCTGGTTCTGCCTGGGGACTGGCACTCCAGGGACAGACAGACTTGATGTCTTCGGAGGAGTGGAGCCCTCAGAATAAGCAGCTGCCTATAAAATCTAATTTCAGCCAAGCATTTCTGGAATTTACAGATTGTCTCCACACTTCTCCCTCTGTGCCCCAGGGAGACAGCTGGGACTCTGGGGTCACACTCCCCCACCTCCTCCACCCCAGCCTCACTCTCCCCTGGGGCCCAGGCAGAGGTGGAGGCGGGGCCCAGAATGCCCCATGACTAGGAGGGATTCAGGAGAGGAGACCTAAAGCTGAAAGCCCTGTCACTGGGGCTTAGAGAGTGCTTCACGGGCAGGAAGGAAAAGGAAAGAATCTGGGCTGAGGGAAGGGGGTCTGGAATGAAATTCCTGGTGGGCGCTTTGCAAGTGTCCTTTGAATTCTTTGTTCCTTGATCTGAACCAGGTCCTGATTTAGGATCCTGAGCTCCCCGCTCTTCAGTACACATGGCTCTGCCCACCCTTCCTCCTTGAACCAGTTCAGGCTTCCTGTCCTACCTCGCACACCTGTGCCCAACCCCAGCTGCCTCTTCCCCTGAGCTCTGGCACAATCCCTTCCTTCACCTCCCCTGGGCCAAGCAAGATGGCGAGCGTGCCTGGCTCTGACACCTCCTCTGGTCGGGGGGCTTCAGTCTCTGTTCCATGGCCACGCGTGCTCACCGAGGACAGAAGGCTCCTGTGGAGCCTCCTCCGGTCAGTGCCATTCTGCCCTGTGGACTGAACTGAATTGGCTTCCAAGTAAGATCTGGTTTGAATGAAGGGTTCAAGAGATATTAAGGCGCAAACCGCTTACCCAGTCCTTCATTTTGCAGGGAGGAGAATGGGCCCAGAGAGGGTGAGGAAAGACTGAAGTAAAGCATAGGGTCCACCTCGCCTCCAGTTTCACCTCTTCCCTTCAGGGCCTCCCATTCCCCTTCCACGGCTGCCAGGCTCCCTGCACCTGTGAATGGTGCCCCCTGGCGTTGTGCCCCATGGCGGCCGCCTGCAGCTCCACACTGCTCCACTCACCTTCCTGCCTTCTCTGGAGTCCAGGCCGGCATCAGCCTGGCCTCTGGCTTCACCCTCATGAGCAAGGCCCACCCTCGCTGTCCAGCTCTGTTTGTCACGGGTCCCGCTCTGCTCTCCACAGTGGCCAGCAGGCCCGCTTTCCCTGGACAGGGCCATGTGTAAATAGCTTAGGCTTTGTAGAGCACATAAGGTTTTTGTCCATGGATTCTTCCTTTCTGTTCTATCACCTTTTTAAGCAAAATCAGACTTGGGATGATTTGGCCTGAAGACTGTAGTTTGCTTATCCTTGCCTTGCTGATTTAAAAATAATTATTTAATTAGTTATTTTCTTTCGCAGTACTTGGGGTTGGTACAAGGTCTGTGCCCTGAGCTATATCCCCAGCCTCCCCCCTTTTAAAAAAAAAAAAAGGCTTATTTTGAGACAGGGTCTCGTGAAGTGGGCAGGCCGGCCTTGAACTTGTGATTCTCTTTTCTTATCCTCCTGAGCCAGTGCGATTACAGGTGTAAGTTACTTTACTCTTTTTTTTTTTTTTTTTAAATCAATGTATACCTATTTTAGCAGTATTAAAGAAACAGGGTTCTCGTGCATGTGACCGCTCTTTTTTATAGATTCATAACACAAAATCTTGAGGGATATTACAAATGATAATAAAAATTTACAGCGAAGGTCTTTAAGAATCACACAGAAGATTTAAGAATTGTTTCGTTATGTTCCTAGTGCAAACACAAGACAAGAATAAGGGATGTAATTGAAGCTAATCTTCCAAATGGCTCTTCCCCAGTTTTTCATTTCTCACTTCCTCTCTTCCCTAAAAACCTCAGGATGCATTCGCTATGTACTGGAAGTATAGGATTCTTAAAACCCAGCTGGACAATGAGATATCGGAGTCTTTTCACAGGTCCACACTGCTCTCCAGCAACCTACTTGCATTGAGAAAGTAACCCTCCATCCACCCATATATTGTACTTGGCTGCATTCTTCCTGCTGTCTGATTCTCCTACCTGGGCTGTCTGACGGCCAAGGCCTGGCTGGGTGGGTGAGTGAGAACATGAGTCACAAGTTTCCCCCATTAATGGTTCCTGTGTTGTCCCCAGGTGCTGCCCCGCCTTCATCATGCCGGAAGTGTAAGTCTTCTCACCCTGATCCGGGGTTCCAGGGGCAAGTCCTTTCACTGCAGATGTTAGCCCCAAAGTTGAGGACCACTTGCTCAACCCCCCAGATTGTTCCCTGCAATCAGATCCTAGAACAAGAGCAGTCCTGAGTCTGGATCAGCACCGAGCTGTTCTCCAGGGTGGCCAGGCGTCCTTCCGGCCTTTGAGCAGGATACAGTGGGAAGACCTCTGTGGCCTGTGCTTCAGAGTTTGCCTGTCTGTGCTGATCTAATGAACTGAATGTGCCAGGCCATGACGTCACACTTGGCCCAGCAGATGGGCAAAGCTTTGGGAATTTACCCGAGGTCCAGGCAGGGAAGCGTCCCCATTACCGTACGCTCTGTCAAGGCTTCCCTGACTTCCCACCAACCCTCTCCAACTTCCGGTGACCCAACTTCTGTTGGGTTGTTATCTGTCTGCTGGGCCCCTCAACCTCCACCCCCTGCCTGGTTTCTTTGGGCACACACTTGTCATCTGTCACCTCGTTCCCCAAGCTGGTCCTCCTGGTTCTGCTGTTGCACATCTGATGTACTTTGTTCATGTTCTGTGTTCTGCTCTCTCCTCCATCTTTCCTGGCTGGATGCCTGAAGTGAGGTGAGTGCTATTGCAGGTGCCTGTGTGGTGATTAACTCTTGAGACTGGGAAAGGTGGGGTGGGTGTCTGAGGACGGGAGAGAGCACGGGTCAAGGCTGAGGTGGTGGTGGGGTTGTCCAGTGGCTGAGAAAAACTTCCGAGAGAGCAGACACCTCGATCAAGATTCTGGGTGTGGGCTGCCCAGGATCCAGGGAGCTGTTGCCCCAGTGCCTGATGTCACTTGTGGTGTCCTCGGGCTGAGACCGTGGGCAGCAGATCTAAGTGTGACCTTATGCCCTCCCTAAGCACAGGTTTCCCCTTGCTCACTCTGGGAGCTCCTCCTTCCCTGGGGGGTCCATTCTGTCCCTTGCAGTGCTGATCTTGTGCAAAACCACATTTGACAGTGAAAGTTATTCCACGCTGGCCCAGTGCTAGAGCTTGGAGGAAGGAGCAAAGCTGTGCCCTTAGGTCCCTCAGGTCTTTGGGGACCTTGACTGATGGTGACATGTTGCCCACCATGCAGCTTTATTCGGCCTGCTGAGGATACAGCCTGTGTGTGTCCAGGAATGGCACCTGCAGGGAAGGCTTTAGACTTTGCGATGGCAAGGGTGTGGCTTTGTACCTGACCAAGGGGACGCTTGTCACGTCACTCATAGTGAGAATCAAACATGCTCTGCTTCAATGGTCACGTGAATTTCTAAGTCTTACTGAGGTTCTCCACTGGCTGACGCTCAAATGGTATGGCCACGCGCCCACCACGTGCTGGGGACAGGATAGGATTCTGCCACGGGTACATCACAGTGCAGAAACCATGGGCGACTGACAGCTATAGCTGCAGGCCACTGCTCTCAAGGGCATGCGGACCCGAAGTCCAGCAATACTGTCTGCTTTGGGAGAGAAAAATAACCACTCTGAACAGTCAGATCAGCAGTTGCTTGTTCTATGGGCTAAAGCTCATCAGTTGTCTCCCAGAATGCTCATCCGAAGCCTGATCATTTCTATTCTCCAAACCACGGTTATGAGTTACAGCTACGCCCTCCCTAGCACCCAGCACCTCAGAAACAGATAGAGAGCCCCTGGAGCATCAAAGAGACAGCCTATGGCCCAGAAGAGACACACATCCTCCAAGCCCACACGATTTTCTTAGTTGGGGCGGGGAGGAAGCACCATTACCACCCCTGATAGACCACCGCCACAGGGCTGAAATTTCTCTTTTCTTTCCC